AAAAAAAAAAAAAAAAAAAAAAATAGTATGTAACTCGTGCCGGGGACTAAAACACAAAGTCGTCGGTATAGTGATCCGCTTCGGCAGATCGTTGTGGGAACTTAGGGTTTTCGTTGGCCAACAAGGGAACCAGCCCGCTGTCGTCGTCATTGTTACTTGGAAGTATGACAGGGTGGTTTGTTCTTTCTCATGGGGAGAACTTGAGCGACCCCCCCGTACAGTAGTCCAGGAGCAAAAAAAAAATAACCAATATTTTATTAAAAAATTTTGAATTTTAGATTATTTAAATTTTAGAGTGGAACAGATCTAACTAACAACTCATATAAATTAGGATCTACATAATATTATTAAATTAATTTTTTTAATAACATTTTTTTTTAAAGATTTAAAGATAGCCATATTATAGATAAGTTTTAACAAAAAATGTTGATACCAAAAACTCCTATTTTAATTCAGTAGTTACGTTTATACAGTATTTTGAAGTTTGTAAAATTTTGATTTTTTTTACGATTTTCCTATGATATCAAATGTTAGTGCATATTATGTAAAGGATAGAAGTAAACATTATCTTTTTATGATAATGTTTAGGCGTCCACATTATAATTTCATAAGAAAAAGGAACGTCTTGTATTCAAGAGTATTTATTGGAAATATCAAATAGAGAAAAGTAGGAAAATAAAAAATTCACCAAAATTATATAAGGATTAAAATTAAATTTTATGAGTACATAGATTAAGTAAGCAAAAAGAAAAGTCAAGTAATCATCAACAATAAAAAATATACCAAGTAAATTTAATAAATCAATAATATTTGAACAGAGTTATATGGCAGCGTTACATCTTTAATATATGTTTATTTCAAGAGTTATTTAGAAGATTCATACAGAGTGTTCAGTAAGTCAGGAAACGGGTTTCTATTGTTCTCATTGTTACAAATAATGAGAACAATAGACTTACTGATAAACTGACTTACTGAACACTCTGTATATAGCCACCATATTACTGTGGATGATACACGAGGTGAATCAATCCCACGTATCATTGATAACCGTCAAAACCCGTGGCAATATTGATATTAGAGAATTAACAATCAATAAAAATAAATCTTATATTAATAAAATAAAGATATCTTTATTTTTCCATCATTTTCTTACAAACCCTCGTACTCATACCCCGAGTAATAATATTATTAATACAACAAAAATAGTAACTCACAGCTCACCCAGCGTTGTTGGGTTGGGTTTAAAGCCTGCGTTGAATTTCTATGCCATCGCCCTTCTACGTGTATTATGTAGTTTAATATAATAATAATGTAGTTAAACATAATAATGTATATGGTAGTGTACTTAAAGGATTTTGCTGGATTATACGAAAACAATGTACTGCTATTCACTTAATATATTTATTAATTTATTAGAAAAATGTTAATGAGCCATACAGTTGATTTAACTCAGTTAACTCAGTTTACAATATTATAAATAACTGTAATAATAAACAAAAAATTACATCAATATTATATGGCCTTTTCATTTTTCGAAAATGAAAAATATACATATATTTTTTTTTTATAAATAGAAAAGCTATATTTTTAGTAAAATTTTAATATTCTAACGTATAACAATTACTAAAATAATATTTATACTGTAAAATATAGACAATATCAATATTTATTGTTGTTAGAACATGGCAGACTCACCTTGTATACACACTAATACATTATGTAATATTTCCACGACTAATCATTGTTTATGGAAAAAAATTGTAGCTGTAAAAAAATGTTTATATTAAAACGTGAAGAGGAAAATAGTTTTAGATATTTTGCTTACAATATTGGTGGTCTGTTACTACCTTCGGTGTCATCGCCTAGTATGAAAATTAAAGTTCAAAATGTTATAAAACTGTTTTGGTTAATTAGTAGAAATTTTATATATGTTAAATTATTAGTATTAATTAATATAGACAGTAATTATTACTGTTAATATTACTTATAATCTATTATTGTAAACAGTGAATTGTATTTTATTTAAATTGCATATTTTTAGATTTTAATATTCCAAAGCTGATATATTTTTATTATTTTCATGTTTTTTAAAACTGGTATATAAACATACAAAATACTGTATTAATTTATAAACAAAATTAAATAGACATTGATTGTTAAATTCGGTGCCAATTAAATGTGGTAAAATTTCATTTCTCATATATAAGAAACAATGCTTTCATTATAAGGGAATATTTTCCAAAATTAATTAATTATGGTTATCAAGATTTATGAATATAATACCGTCCCTCTTATATATATAAGAGGAACGGTGTGGCCGAGTCTGTAACGCGACAGTGCTTAACGACACGCACTGCTTCAGGTTCGAAACTCTTGGGCGACTTCATTTGGCGAACGAGAGATCGGTTCGGTAATTGGAGTTGCCATCTCTATCTCTGACGACGGACTATCCCAACCCATCTCGGAATATTAATGGTTAAGAAATCTCCTCCTTTGGCGGAGGCCACTACGACCCTTAATGGGCTGATAAAGCAGTAAAAAAAAAAAAAAAAGGTATTCACGATATTATCATGACTTTAAATCTCTTCAAATAAAAAAAATAATTTTTTTGCAATATTCACGATTAATCACATTAAAAATATCACACTGATGTATAGGAATGTCGGATCATTCCTCACAGTGTGATATTTCCTATGTTTTATGAAAATAAATAAAATATTAATCTGTACATTTTTATGAAAAAATCAATATTTAACAAAAGAATTGAGAGTATGTATAAACTTACATTGATTAGACGGCGGATCTTCGGCTTCTGATGGAACAGCTAGATTATGTTCCATGTACATACAATAATTTATACATTTATATACGTTTTTAAATTAATTTTAGTTTTTTTTTTATTTTAATCTGTATATATTTATAAGAAAATAATTATTTAACAAAAGAATTGCGAGTACTATTCAACATATAAACTTACATTGATTAGACGTCGGAGCTTCGGTCACTGATGGAACAGAAGCTAGGTTTACACATAAAATAATTTATACATTTTTTATACGTTTTTAAATTAATTTTAGTTATTTTTTTTATTTTAATCTGTATATTTTTATAAAAAAATATTTATTAAACAAAAGAATAATGAGTAGTATTGGATGTATAATCTTACATTGATTAAACGGCGGAACTCCGAACTGTGGTGGAACATTATCTAAGTTTACACATACAATAATTTATATATTCTTTATACGTATTTAAATTAATTTTAGTTTTTTTTGTATTTTAATCTGTATATTTTTATGAAAAAATATCTATTTAACAAAAGAATTGCGATTAGTATTCGATTTATAAACTTACTTTGATTAAACGGCGGAACTCCGAACTGTAGTGGAACATTATCTAGGTTTGCACATCAAATAATTTATGCATTTATTACACGTTTTTAAATTAATTTTAGTTTTTTTTTTATTTTAATCTGTATATATTTATAAGAAAATATCTATTAAACAAAAGAATAATGAGTAGTATTGGATGTATAATCTTACATTGATTAAACGGCGGAACTCCAAACTGTGGTGGAACATTATCTAAGTTTACACATACAATAATTTATATATTCTTTATACGTATTTAAATTAATTTTAGTTTTTTTTGTATTTTAATCTGTATATTTTTATGAAAAAATATCTATTTAACAAAAGAATTGCGATTAGTATTCGATTTATAAACTTACTTTGATTAAACGGCGGAACTCCGAACTGTAGTGGAACATTATCTAGGTTTGCACATCAAATAATTTATGCATTTATTACACGTTTTTAAATTAATTTTAGTTTTTTTTTTATTTTAATCTGTATATATTTATAAGAAAATATCTATTTAACAAAAGAATTGCGAGAAGTATTCTTAATAAATTACTTGTTGATAATTATAATTTTTCATAAAGTAACATACTTTGTCTGGATGACGAAGCTCCAGTCTCTTGTGGGACCAAATCTAGGATTACGCATACAATTATTTATACATTTATTATACGTTTTTAAATTAATTTTAGTTATTTTTTATTTTAATCCTTATATTTTTATGAAAAAATAATTATTTAACAAAAGGATTGCAGGATTATTCTTAATTAATCCAATATGTCGTTTATTATATATTTTTAATTAAGTGGTAACATACTTTGCCTGGATGACATAACTCTAAGCTCTTGTGGGATCGAACCTAAGATTACATATATAATTATTTTACGTTTTTAAATTAATTTAAATTACTATTCATTTTTAATCTGTATATTTTTATGAAAAAATAATTATTTAACGAAAGAATAGCGAGTAGTAATCGATGTATAAACTTACATTGATTAGACGACGGAGCTTCGGTCACTAATGGACCATAATTTAGGTTTACATATACAATTATTAAAAAAAAAAATACATATAGAAAAATAGTATTTGGTAGCCATTTTCATCATGAATACAAAATAAAGTCCGAAATTTTTTTTATGCATAATAAAGTACATTACATTATCATTAATTAAACATATATATAAAAGTGTCAGCCTTTCGGTTGTTAAGTTGAAAAAGTTAATTTTTTGTAAAAAAGTTGTCATTTTATATCCCCCCTGTGAGTAGGTAAAGGGTCAAATTTATGAAAAAAATATACCAAATCATAGGTAATGACATCAAGCATCTATAAAATAAAAAGTTATATTGATTTGTTCATATTAGCCGATTATACTAGAGACAGTAAACTTTCTTTTGGTATACTTTTTATGATAATTCAATGAAACAACTTTACTACAGGAAAGGTTTGATATAGACAATCCATCTATACAATTAAATATTTTTCAGGAACATTTGCACTTTCTTAAATATTTTTCTGTATCAAAATAAAATATAAACCTGAATTAAAATTACACTGAACATTTGTCATTATAAATCACTTAAATACTAATATTTTTATTTTAACTAGTAAGCTTTTTTACTTTAAGGAGAAAGTAATTCCTATAGAAATTATATAGAAAGTAATAAGTTTTTTGAATAAAAAAAACCGAAAAGTACATTTTATCTGAACACTTACACGATAAATTAAATATATTAGAGAAGATAACGTTCATGAATCTTCCTTTGAGGTTTATAATGGTTTTACCTATTGTTATAATAACATATTATAATCTACACTAACTATATGCGATAGAAAAAGTGTCTTATTCTTAAAGCTTTTAAAAAGGTAATAGATTATCTTGTTCTATTTAAATTTATAGAATAAATTATAAATGTTATAAATTATTAATGTTATATAATGTTATGTATAGATAAGTTTAGTTCTCATATTTAATATTATCAATAATATTACTATTTGTGATATCTTTCCCACACGACCGACAATGAGTTAAATATCGTAAACAGGTATAACAATAGAAGTGAGAACACGATAATTGGTATAATAGATTCTTATTTGAACAAACAACACAACCTATAAAATATTAACTTAAATAAGAAAATACCTATGAATTTAATATATTTTTATAAGAAATAATTATTTATAATATACTTACGTGATAAATCTTCTCCTATAATCAAGAGAAAATATAAACCTGAATTAAATTACGCTGAACAAATAAATCTTAGTTTAAAAATTTTTCTTTTAAACAAAAATCAAAAGTTATAAAATATTAAATTTTGTAATTAAGTAATCGTCTAATAATTTTTAATTAAAATCAATTAACTAAGGAACATTATTACATCAATTGTCAGTTTATTGCCAATTTAATACTAAATATATAATTTATAATTTATATAAATTCATAATTGTTCAAAAAACATATAATTTAATTTAAGATTAATAGATATAAAATGGATTTTTTTTTTGCTCATTCGTGTATATGAAAATCATGTAATTACTTAGTGTAATCTATTTAAAATTATGAGAAAATTGTACCGATCAAGTCGTTGCCATAATCTGAAAACAATTATATTTAATCAATTAGAATTTAGGTAATATTTTTCATTTTGAATAGGTTGTCAATATACACAAAAAAGATATATTTTTCTGAAATTTATTGATGCCTTATAAAATCATTAAATAAAAAACAGAGTGTAAAAATTGATTGGAATATAAAGACTTTATAAATTAAATCATTTTTAATTTGCTAGTTATACATTTATTGCTTATGAATTTACTTAAAATGATTTTCCATATTTCAAAGTTATGTGTAATACTTTTGGATTTGAAAAATATATCATCGGATATAACTTCGAATTAGTGTTTCAGAAATTATTGGTAATTTGAAGTATAGATGAAGAAAAAAAGTGTAACTATAATTTAATAGCTTCGATGCGATGCTGAGAAGGTATAAATTTTACCATGATTTGTGTATTTTATTTTTATTTTTTTATGTCTATTACTTCTTTTTCTTAGATCTTTCACAAATAATTACGATTTTTAAAATTTGTCAATTTTGACGTTTTTTTCACTTTTTTTTTTTTTTTTTTATTGTCATAACTTATTGAAAAATGAAAGAATCAAAAAATTTTATTTTTATTGAAACTTTAGATATAATTTTCTTTCATTTTATATCATTTTTTTTGAAAATCTGACATTTAACCTGTTCATAAGGGGGAATTCAAAATAGAAATATTTACAAAATCCAACATTTTCAACTTAAGTTTTAAAAATGTCCCGGAAATATTGTGCCCATTAAACATATGTCAAATTAAAGCTTATTTTACGTACTATAAATTAAAAAAAAACCCAGCACAGGGGGGTCGCGGCACAGTGGTGACGTGGCATAGTTGGATCAAGTATAATGATATCTGACAGTGATTAAAATCACTATAAAAAAAAAAACGCTTCGATGCAAATCTTTAGATAGTGTTTAATTTTAAAAAATTGGTGGATTATTCCAAAAGCTTCATAAACTGCTAGTTCCTTATTAATATCCTGATTAAGATAAAGTATGTCTAATGAAAAAGGGATTATTAAAAAATAGTATTTCTCATAGAAAAATTATATTGATCAATACACTTTTCAATAAGTTATAGCATTATAAAGTTAAAAATGTAAAAAGTAAAATTGAGAATTTTCTTACAATAATAGCATTTGGTAGCCATTTTCACCGTGAAGACAAAATAAAGTCCGAAATTTTTTTTTTACCATAATAAAGTAGATTACATTAGCTTTAATTTAAGATATATATAAAAGTGTCAGACCTTCCGGAACATTTTCAAAATTTAAGTTAAAAAAATTAATTTTTTGTGAAAAAGTTGTCATTTTAAATCCCCCCTTGTGGGCAGGTTAAGGGTTAAATTTATGAAAAAAATATACCAAATGAAAGGTAATGATATTATGCATCTATATAAAAAAGAATTATATTGATATGTTCATTTTTGAAAAAGTTATGGCACTTTTAAGTAAAAAAAATTGAAAAAATTTCGAAAATTAGCGATTTTTAAATTTGTAATTTTTTTGGAGGTTTCCCCCTTTTACGGGGAACGAGGGATTTTTTTTCAATTTTTAAGGGTAATGTCTTCGACTAGATACGATTTGTGATCTTTTGACGTATCATTGAAAGAAATCGGTTCGGTGAGAGCTGAGAAAAAGTGGTAACAGACCCAAAAAAAAAAAAAAAAACACATCATAGTAAAACCAATACCTTTTCAGCTTCGCATCGAAGCTAATAACCAATATTTTATTCAACAATTTTGAATTTTAGATTATTTAAATTTTAGAGTGGAACATATATATATGTCCCGATGATTTATCTTCTACGTGCAAACGGCGACCGTAGTTAACAAACATTCTATTTTTGTGTTCAAATTTTACTTTTATTTGTTTATTTTAAAATTCTTTATATGAGTTTGTAATTGTAATGAGTTCACCAATAAATATAAAATTTACACGAATCTAATTTACAAAAGATCTCAAATCGTATCTAGTTGAAAACATTGCTCTTAAAATTAAAAATTTTTACTCGTCCCTTTTAAATGGGAGAAATTTCCAAAATAATCACATTTTTAAAATTGGTAAATTTTGATATTATTTATTTTTAATTTTCATAACACTAACAAAATAAACAAATCAAAATAATTGTTTTTTATATCGAAACCTTAAGTAATTCTTTTTCATTTGATATAAATGTTGGTTGCTGCATGGGTGTTTTATTGGTTGAGGAACGATATTTGAACCCTTATCTTCTATTATTGCCAACAGTGTATTGATTTTTATTTGAATTGTATATTTTTAGAGTCTAAGTTTTCATACATTTTTTTTTTTTATTTACAATTTGAAATACACAATCTGTACAACATAGCACAATAAGTATATATGATATTATAATAGTAGCATGAATATTTTTCATTAACAAATCATCCATTGGTGACTCTTGGCTGGAAATTTACGTTGTCTAGAGTCTAGAATTTGGTTGTTTTTTTTTATTTTTTATTATAACAAGTCACGGCACCAGTTCCTTTTTAGACGACGCCCGGGGTTTCCCGATATGGTTTGAGTGTTGAGGCTCTTTAGCAATGGATTTTGGTGGGTTTGTAGGCGATTATGAAAACATTTGTAGAAATCTACAGCTTCTTCTGTCACAGTTTTCATTATAAGATCTTTATGTAGGGTATAATTGGACACAAAAGGTGGAGAATTCGTAATTTTTCTAAGGTCAATATTCTGGAACTGTTGGATTTTGTTGGTATTAGATACTTTAGCAGTACCCCACAATTGAAGACTGTAGGTCCACATTGGTTTTAATAGTGTTTTATACATAAGAACTTTAACTTTTAGTTTAGAGTGTTTATTATTTGTAAGCAAGGGGCATAGACTGCGGAGTCAATCTTTAAAGCAAGTCTTTTGATACGGATGTGTGCGTTCCAAGTAAGGCGTTTATCCAAATTGAGTCTAAGGTATCTGGCTGTGAATAGAAACATTATTTAAAGAGATATTTGGACAGGAGTAGTGACATAAAGTGAATGTTGTATATACTGACTTATTTTGATTTGGTTTAGTTTGACATTTCATGTACCATTCTGATATTAAATTCAGATGAATTTGAAGGTTTAAAGATGCAATTTGGGGGTTTTTGTCAATTGAGATTATGGCTTTGCCAACCACGTAATCAGCTACTATAGTAATTTTAGAGACAGGCTTGTTTGATGTGTAAATATTGAATAAAAGGGGTGAGAGGATTCCACCCTAAGGGATACCAGCGAAAAATTTTCAATTTCCGAGACAGAAGATCCAAACCGGATTTGGAAATAGTGATTAGTTAAATAAGACTTAAGCAGTAAGTATAAGAAGGGGGAAAGAAATTTTTTTAATTTGAAGAGAAGGCCGCTTGGACTACATTAATTGAATGTTATAATAATAAAAAGGTGTTAGTTCAAAGACACGTCCGAAATATTGTCGAGTAAGAACCATTACAAGATAGTACTGCCAGAAGATTACGTATGTTAATAGACGACTTAAATGGTAATATGAAAGCTTTAGAAACTTTAGGCGAAAACCCAGGAGATTGGAGAAAGGGCCNGAAACTTTAGGCGAAAAACCAGGAGATTGGGGCCCTTTACTGTTGCACATAGTGTGTTCAAAGCTGGATCGAGAAACGCTGAAGTCGTGGGAGATAAAATCATCCAAGGATAAAGTACCAACTGTTAAGGAATTAACAACATTTTTAGGCAAACGTTTTCAGATAATGGAATCCATAGAATCTTCGCAATGCAGTAATAATTATTCATCAACTGTTGACCGGAAAAGTAGTTTTATAAAACATGCGAACAATCATCGTAAATTAATGACTCGGTCAAATACTCTGATAACTACCGCGATTAAGTGTTATGTTTGTAATCAGCCGCATACAATATATAAGTGTCCATCTTTTATTGCGTTATCGGTAGCCGAGCGCATATCTAAAGTGAATACAATAGGCCTGTGTAAAATTTGTTTACGGAAACACGATAAAATAAAATGTTTTGGTAGATATTGTTTAAAGTGTAATAATCCCCAAAATACGTTGTTACATTTAAATAAAAGTGTAGTATCCAATCGGCCTGAAATCCAAACAGAAAATAATTCAAGTGAGACATCATCTACTACATGTATCTAATACGTTAGATCAAGTTTTATTAGCGACAGCATTAGTACAAGTCAGCAATTCCATTAGCCAAACGTCCGTAGCAAGGGTGCTCCTTGACTCAGCATCAATGAATAACTTTATTACGGTAGAGTTAGCTAATAGTTTACGGTTAAAAAGACAAAAAATTAATCATACTGTTCGTGGTATAGGGTAAACGACCCAAAGTATTTCGTCAACGGTGAATTAAAAATAAAATCGCGTAATAGTGACTTTCAGCTATTCACCCGATTATTGGTGGTGCCAAAGATAACGGGGGATTTGTCTATGAAGAAAATCGGAGATGATAAAAACACGCCCGCTGGAGTTACCTTAGCGGACCTATTATATAATGTGCCGCAACCAGTTGATATTTTAATAGGAGCTAGCCATTTTTTCAATTTAATCGGTAAAAAACATTTTAAAATTGCAGATAAGGGACTTATTTACCAAGAAACTGAGTTTGGTTTTGTTGTATCAGGTGCCATACCTAGTACTAGCATGCCTAATAAATCGACATCATGTGTTGTTTCTGTAGAGGATTCAATAGATGGTGGAGTTTTAGAAAATTTAATACAGCAGTTTTGGCGCACCGAAGAATGTAATCTTGTGGTTCCATACACAGCTGAAGAAAAGGCGTGTAAAAAAATATTTGAAAAAACGGTAATTAGAGATTTCACGGGACGTTTTATTTATACACCTGCCGTTCAAGGAAAATGTAAACCAGTTGGGTGAATCTTATGAAATTGCAAAAAGAAGATTACTGTCCATGGAAAAAAGATTTCGTAAGGATCCAGGACTAAAACGAAGATATGTCAAATTTATGAGAGAGTACGAGAATTTGAATCACATGGAAAGGGTAGTTGTCAAATCAACAGATATACCGGTAAAAATTTGTTATTTACCCCATCATGGTGTACTTAATGAAAATAGTATTACTACTAAATTACGTGTAGTATTTGACGCTTCAACAAAAACCGAAAGTGGAATTAGTTTAAATGACACTTTTTTAAAAGAGCCAACGGTTCAGGAAGACTTAATTTATATATTAACGCGATTTAGAACTCATAATTATGTTTTAACCGCCGATATAAAAAAAATGTACCGACAAATATTAGTCGTAAATAAACATCGGGATTATCAGCGTATTCTATGGAGAGAAGAAGAAAATGAACCGATAAGCGTATACTGTTTAAATACTCTTTCTTATGGAATGGTAGCTGCTTCGTATATTGCCACGGGTTGCTTAAAGTGTTACGTGACTGAGCACTGGACAGATGTACTTCCCTCAGTTCTTATGGGCCTTAGATCAGTGATTAAAGAAGATCTAGGTTTAACACCTGCAGAAATTGTATTTGGAAGTACGATTAGATTACCTAATGAGATTTTTATGCAGTCATCAGTGGCAACAGACCCTTGTTCCTTTGCTGAAACACTAAAGAAAACAATGGAAACCATATGCCCAGTGTCAACTTCAAACCACGGAAGTAAAAAAATTTTTATATATAAAGATCTAGCATCCTGTTCACACGTTTTCGTTCGGGTCGACCGGGTCAAGAAACCGCTAGAACAACCATATGAAGGGCCGTACAAAATTGTTCAACGATACGAAAAAACCTTTAAATTATAAATTAGGCAAAGAGAATGTATCATATGAATAGACAGACTGAAGCCATGTTTCAACAAAAATGAAGATAATAACACAAATCTATCAAAAACAACGAACCAGCACAACCAGAGAAATACATCTACAAGACCAACAATAATACAAACAAAACAAACCAAGTCAGGAAGAACTATCCGCCTCCCCGTAAGGTTTTTGTAAATTGTGAGTTGTATCACTTTTATATTTGTAACTATGTATGTTAAACGTAAAATTATCGTTTTCACTGGAAAGGGGGTAATGTAGGGATCAACAAAAATGTTAAATAACATGTCACAATGAATGCGTTTATATATGTTTATATGTTTTATTTTAGATGTACACTGCAGTACGATAACACTCCGTGTATTATTTTTAGTATCGCGCTGTCCGTCAATCCAGTAACACTTAATATTTGTACTCTTATTTTTATGTATATATACATCATATTTCAATGTTAAAAATTATTAATTATTATAAATTTTAATTGTAGTATTTTTGTAATAAATATAAATACCAAAACACTACNATGGTATGAATTATCTCAAACTGAAGAACATCAAAGTAAAATTAATAATATGTTGTCTGAAAACGAAGTGGAGTGGAAGTTTATTCCTGCGCGCTCACCGCATTTTGGGGGTCTGTGGGAAGCTGGAGTAAAGTCGATGAAATATTTATTACGTAGGGTTTTGGGTGATGTCCATTTATTTTACGAGGAGCTACTTACTGTAATTACCCGGGTGGAAGCATGCTTAAATAGTCGCCCATTAACGATTCTATCCTCTGATCCAAGCGACTTGTCTCCTCTCACTCCTGGCCATTTTCTCATTGGTAATTCTTTAACTGCTTTACCTGAACCGGATCAAACGAACATATCAAGTAACCGGTTAACACGTTGTAGGCGTGTTTCTCAATATTCTCAAAATTTATGGAAGCGCTGGAGTCGGGAGTATTTAGCGCAGTTGCAGGAGATAACGAAACGGGTTGGTGAGAAAGGACCTAAGATAAAGGTAGGCACCATTGTGCTTCTCAAGGACGATAATATTCCGTCTTTAAAGTGGCGGCTTGGTCGTGTCGTAAATGTAGTAACCGGAAATGACGGTGTCATTCGAGTTGCCGACGTCAAAACCATGAATGGCTCTTTTCGCCGAGGAGTTAGGTTTTTGTGTCCTTTGCCAATCGACGAAAATTAATTTGCCATTTATATTCATTTGTAAAAAAAAATTTTTTTTTTTATGCATTTATATTTAGTTGATTTTTTGTAATTATTTGGTTTAGATATTTGTAGTTTATGGGATATAATGTGTTATTTATAGTTTTTAGTTTGTTATTTTATTTTATTGTTTTTTTTTTATTTTCTATATCTATGTTTATCTATATTTTTTTGTATAATACTGTTAACTACTACCTATGTTTTATACTTGNAAAAAAAAAAAAAAAAAAAAAAAAAATGAAATTATTAAATATGATAAAATTGTTAATGTTTGTAATTTATTTTTATGGTGTTATTAACTATATTCGTATATTCATTGTGATTTATGAAGTATATTATCCCACATTTTTTTCGTTTAAAAGCGTTGTCATAAAAATTTTCAAATTAAAATTTTATTTATTTTTATGAACTATAATAAATATCGGGTTCTTTGTAAAAAAAAATTATTTCTTATGGTGAATTTCAGGGAAAAATGTTGAAAGTTAAATGGTTAACCATTATTAATTTTTACTATTAAATTAATAATAGGTCAAATCCAATTTTGTAACATTAGTATTTGTGATATTAGTATTTAATGATTTAGAAAAGGTAGTATTTGAATGATGCTATTGTTGTGATGTATACGTATCTTATTTTTAAAATAATTCTTAAAATACGTAAGTAATTTAGATATATTAAAAGTACCATACTGATGTATGGGTATGTTCTCATAATTTCTCACAGTGTGATATTTCCTATGTTTCATAAAAATAAATAAAATTTTAATCTGTATATATTTGTAAAAAAATCATTATTTAACGAAAGAATTGCGAGTAGTATTCTTAATAAATCGTATTTTGTTTAATATATATTTTTCATTAAGTGGTAACTTACTTTGTCTGGATGATAAAGCAGTAGTCTCTTGTGAGACAAAACCTAGGATTACACAAATAATTATTTGTACATTAATTTTACGTTTTAAAATTAATTCTAGTTATGTTTTTTATTTATTTAAAAATATATATATAGGCTGATTTTATTATCATAATCCACAGTATAACTTACAGAATAAAAATAATTTAAACATTTTTTTTTGCTTACTTCTATTTACATATAAATATTAATCACCTTTTAATCTCTTCATATAAAAAAACAATAAAATAAATTCTTATTGTAATATTCACGATTATTCACATTTTTTAGCTTCGATGCGAAGCTGAGAAGGTATTGGTTTTACTAAGATGTGTTGTTTTTTTTTTTTTTGTGTCTGTTACCACTTTTTCTCAGCTCTCACCGAACCGATTTCTTTCAACGATACGTCAAAAGATCACAAATCGTATCTAGTTGAAGACAATACCCTCAAAAATTGAAAAAAATTCCCTCGTACCCCGTAAATGGGGGAAACCTCCAAAAAAATTACAAATTTAAAAATCGCTAATTTTCGAAATTTCTTCAATTTTTTTTACTTAAAATTGATATAACTTTTAGATTAAATATAGATTTAATCTGACAGTGATTAAAATCACTATCATAAAAAAACGCCTCGATGCAAATCTTGTAGGTAGTGTTTAATTCTAAGAAATTGATGGATACTTACAAAAGCAACATTAACTTCTATTTCCTTAATTATATCCAGATTAGTAATTCTTTTACTTATATATTATATAATTTTTATAATTAATTGTTTTAAAGTTATTATTGATTTTTAATATGTTAAAAGTAATAAATTTTAACCTACTTTTTTTTGTCTTAAGAGTGAGAGTTTATAATAAAAAAAAAAAAATTATTTATTACCATAACTTTTTAAGCTCAATTTACAAGTTTGAAATTGACATTATTAAATAGAAAAAATGGTGTTGTTAAGATTAATATGTAATCAGGAAATTTTATAATTACTATGTACAGTAAGTTTTTTATTTCATCCATTGTCAAATTCAGGTGAAACTAAAAATCATTTTTTTTTTAGATTTAAGATTTATATAGCAACATGTTACGAAAAAATTTGGAATGTTGTAGACTGGTATTAGCCTACACAAATAGAGTAAAAAAATTAATAAATTTTAAAGTAAAATTATATAATATCAAATATAATTCGACAGTATACTTTAAAAATATTAGAAATGAATGATTTTAATTGTTTGTGTGGATAAAGCTGGTTAAGCTACTTGTTATTTCATTACGGGATTTTTTTTCAATTTTTTAGGTAATATTTTTAAACTAAATACGAATTGTAATCATTTGACGTATAGTTTAAAAAAGTAGGTTAAGTGAGGGTTGGAAAAATAAATAAAAAAAAAACACATAGTGAAATAATATTAACATAAATAAAAAATTTCTTCTCACGAGGGGAGACTATAGTGATGATTATTTATATTTATTGAAGTTATTGAATCTTAATGAGATAAAAATCAAATGTTTTGAAAATTTTTTTATAACTTAAAAAAATGCAAAATATTAATTGCCACAAGTGGATTCGAACCTCGTATCCTTAGCGTGAAAGACATAAGTGCTACCGATTCGGCAACTGTTCGTCACTTTACTTGTTCCAAAGTCCTAGACTTATCCGCATACACTTTGGATTTCAAATATCCCCATAGAAAATAGTCGCACGCCGATAAGTCAGTTTTTTTATCCATAATTTCACCGTTGGTCGCGATGGAACCGCACTTTTTCCGTCAAGATTAAAATTTTTATGAAACTCTCGAATTGCACTTACGTAAGAGTCATTAATCTTATAATAAGCTTTTACGATAAACGCATGCTGAACAACCGTCCACTGCTCCATTATGATAAAATCGCAATGAAACATAATTAGGCATCGTCTAGCTATCTGGAACCGGATTTACCGTTCCCCTACGTTTTTTTGAACAAAAGTTATTTATAAACCAAATGTGAAAGGTTATTATGGGCCACCTTGTACATTCCCATTTTATAATAATATATATTTGATAAATAGTGATAAAAATATTATATTTGTGCACAGATTTTACATACTTTTTGTCAAAATTACACTACTTGTATGTGAAAATAACATATATGTTACAAGAGTATCTGACTGATGTAGGGGAATGTATTTTTATGAAAAATAATTATTTAATGAAATAATTGATATTTCTACTTCTAATAAATCACATGTTGTTTATTATATATTTATCATAAAGTGATTTGTATGGATGACGAAGAGAAAGTATTGGTTTTAACGTGTTGTGTTATTTTGTTTGTCCATGAACATCCTCAGCTCTCTTATTTGTTTTTGTTTATGCATCAAATGAACACGATTATTATATAATTAAAGCATGAAGCACCGAAAATTTAAAAAAATTTATATTAATTTATGACATTTAAAATAATGTCCAAAAATTACATTTGCCTAAAAAATAAGGTAACGTAAAATAAAATAAAAAAATATATTTCTGCATATAGATAATGCTATAAATTATTTTTTAAATGCTCATCATAATAAAATTTTAACTGACTATACTGGAGACAATAATCTTTCTTTTTGTATGCTTTTTATGATAATTCAATGAACAACTTAAGTACAGGAAGTGTTGATATTTTGTATATTAACTAATTTATTTTTAAAATAAGCAGAGTGTTTAATAAGTAAGGAAACAGGTTAATTGTTACAAACAATGAAAAAAATAGAAACCCACTTCCTTACTCACTTTACACCTTAAATTATGAGTATTACCTAATGATTGACAGCTCGTACAGTATATTTTATTGTTTTCCTCGTATAGAACATTGGGTAACAAACAAATTGAACAGNAATATTGGGTAACGAACAAATTGAACAGGCTTTAAATAGTAAATTTATTATTATTTATAGTATTGTATCATATTTTTATAATTGAAAAGTTTATTAATTTATAACATTTTTAATTTTTTGAAAAATAATTTTTAATTTCTTGTTTTAGTTACTTGGATAAGACAATACCAATTAATTTGATTTACNGTTTTAGTTACTTAGATAATACCGAATAATTTAATTTATTTTTATAAGAAATAATTATTTAATTTATACTCACTTAAAATTTGTGCTATATCAAAACAAAATATAAACTTGAATTAAAATTATACTGAACATTTTTATTATGAACCACTAAGTACTAATTTTTTATCTTTACTGGTAAGCTTTTTACTTTTAGAAGAAAACAAATTAAAGATCCAACATTGAACTATACATTATGTATGTCATGAATAATATTAGATGTGTAGTTTGTGATTTTATAGTGAAGTTTATTAGATTGTATGATTGATAAATCAAATGTTATTTATATTACTACAACTAATATTGAAAATCAAACTCTCTTTACATTCAATCTCACAGAATTTTGTTATTGTTGATTCTTTATATTATTTTCAATATTAGCCGAAGGTTCAAATTAATTTATAGATATTCTATAGAAAGTAATAAGTTTTTTGAAAAATAATAACGAAAAGTACATTTTATCTGACAATTACACGATAAATATAATATATTATAGAGGATAATGTTCAAAAATCTTCCTTCGAGGATTATAATGGTTTTACCTATTGTTATAATAACACATAAGAAACATAATATATACTCTTAATATAACCGATAGACCAAGTGTCTTTTTTTAAAGATATTAAAAAAGTGTTATAGAATCTTGTTTTATTTATATTTACAGTATAAATTATAAATTTTATTCATGATTAATATCTTATATTTAATATTATCAATAATATTACCATCTCTGAAGTTTATTTTACATATCACACAATTCGAAACATATTTTAAACAGTTGTTTATTTATTTTATATTTATCTTTTGCCTGATAATTAACTTAACTTCGCTACCCCGTATATTATAGTGTGTGTTGTGTGTGTCGCCGTCAGCTCCCAGTTGGATTATAACATCTCTAGGTGTCCAGCAGGTTGTATTATCCATTAATATTTTAATTGCTTAATAAATATTTATTTATATCGTTGTTAACCTAAAGTGTTATATATATATATATTGTAGTGCGACCCTTGGTAGTTCCTCTAAGGGAATATAAATTAAATAGGAAACTTCAGTACCTAAGGTAGATATAGCCTAGCCAGCTATCCCCCGTTGGTCCCTTAGAATACTGTCGACGGGCATTTAGGCTAAACCCCTAAATAGCGACGTAACAGTATCTAGTTGAAGAAATTACCCTAAAAAATTGAAAATTATTCCTTCGTTCCTCGAAAATGGTGAAAATCTCCTATAAATTATGATTTTTAAAATCGGTAAATTTCGACATTTTTGTTACTTTTTTTCTAAAAAATTTGTATAACTTATTAAAAATGAACAAATCAAAATATTTTTTATTTTATATTAAAACCTCATGAATTTCCATTTTATTTGATTTAATATATTTAAAAATCTGATTCTTTATCTGCCCACAAGGGAGGTTTCAAAATAGCAACTTTTTTACAAAATTCAATGTAATGTTTTCAATGTAAGTTTTGAAAATGCCTTGGAAACATTGCATTTTTATATCATATATCAAATTTAAGCTTATATAATGTATTTTAAATAAAAAAAAATTGTTTCGACGACTTATATTCTATGTGCAAATGGCTATTGAAGTTAAAAAATATCCTATTTTTGTGTTCAAATTTTTTTTTTTTTTTTGTTTATTTTAAAATACCATTAAGGATTGGCTATAGTAATGAGTTCACCAATAAATATAAAATTTACATGAATCTAACTTATATTAAATATAAATTTATACTTATTTAGATAATTTTGTCTCTTCAAAGTTTAGAAAAGATTTTTTGAAAACTTGAAAATTTTTATAAAAAGTAGCAATTTTTCAACCTAACTTATGAAAATCTGCTTTTATTAAATATCTATTAAAATAAATCTAATTTTATGTACTAGAAATTTAAAAAAAAAAACAAATTTATACCGACCACCTATTTTCTATCTACAAATGGCAGTCGAAGTAGAACAAAAATAGAAGTTACTTTTACTTTAAGAATAATCTACGAATTTCTTAAAATTAAACATTATCTACGGATTTGCATCGAAGCGTTTCTTATGATAGTTGTTTTAATCAATGTCATATATCATCTATACTTGTCCCAACTATGCCACATCCATACTGTCCTATGACTCCACTGTGCTGCTGTTTTTTGCTATTTAACTAGAGTAAGGTAAATTTATTAACACTTTTTAGTCCTAAAATCTGAATAGTTAAATGTTAAGTATGAACGTATTATATTAATTTCTCGATTCACTGCAATATTTTTTTGTCAGATTCTATTGGGGGGACATAATGATATTTTTGCCCCCTCCGTATTTTGACCAAGGGGGCAACTGCCCCTCTTGCATCCCGGTTCCAGCGCCATTGAATATAATTAATATTATCACTTCGAAAAGCATGTAAAAATCGAGCTCACTCTACATTCAGTCACACAGAAATCAATTGTTGCTGAATCTTTATATTATTTTTCAATGATAGTCAAAGATTCAAAAAAATCTATAGAAATTCTATTGATAGTAATAAATTTTTGAAAAATAAAAATGAAAAGTACATTTTATCTGAACAATTACACGATAAATTATATATATTTGAGAGAATAACGTTCAAGATTCCTCTTTTAAGGATTTTAGTGGCTTAGAGGATTATAGCTAATTGAAAAGTTTATTAATTTATAACATTTTTAATTTTTTGAAAAATAGTTTTTAACTTTATGTTTTAGTTACTTAGATAATACCGAATAATTTAATTTATTTTTATAAGAAATAATTATTTAATTTATACTCACTTAAAATTTGTGCTATATCAAAACAAAATATAAACTTGAATTAAAATTATACTGAACATTTTTATTATGAACCACTAAGTACTAATTTTTTATCTTNTGAACATTTTTATTATGAACCACTAAATACTAATTTTTTATCTTTACTGGTAAGCTTTTTACTTTTAGAAGAAAACAAATTAAAGATCCAACATTGAACTATACATTATGTATGTCATGAATAATGTTAGATGTTATGTTTGTGAATTTATTGTGAAGTTTATTAAATGGTAGGTTTGAAAAATCAAATGTTATTGATATTACTACAACGAATATTGAAAATCAAATTCTCTTTACATTCAATCACACAGAAGTTTGTTATTGTTGATTCTTTATATTATTTTTCAATATTAGTCGAAGATTCAAAAAAATCTATAGATATTCTATAGAAAGTAATAAGTTTTTTGAAAAATAATAACGAAAAGTACATTTTATCTGACAATTACAGGATAAATTTGACACGACTTGCGTCGCAAAAATGTGGTCGACACTAGTTTTGAGGGTAGAGACCCGTGGGCCGTTTATTAAATGAGCGACAACACATTATTTTAATAAAAATAAACAAACCGAAAAGATAAACACAGTAATAATAATCTTCGCATAATATCGCGGCACTTTCGCTGGCGTCGACGACGCGATGTCCGACGTAATCCTTGAACGGCAAAATGGTTAGCAGCGTTGTAGGCGACGTTGCGCGGGTGCGGTTCGGTTGGTCGGCGTTGTCGCTTTCACAACAGGAGGAAGACTCTCGCACCATTTGCGGTGGGTCGTCGTCAGCCGTGCGGCATTTGCTGGACTTTGCACCGTAGCGTATAACACGCGGTGTTGGTCAGTCAAATATTCATAGTAGGGCGACGGCTGATAAAGGTGGCACGAGTCGCGGGGCATCGTGTATAACGAAGCGACGCGGGCCGTGTCAAATTAAATAAATTAGAGAGGATAACGTTCAAAAATCTTCCTTCGAGGATTATAATAGTTTTACCTATTGTTATAATAACACATAAGAAATATAATAAATTACTCATAATATAAGCGATAGACTAAATGTCTTATTTTTAAAGCTATTATAAAAGTGTTAGTGAATCTTGATTAATTTAAATTTATAGAATAAATTATAAATTTTATTGGTGATTTATATTTTATATTTAATATTATCAATAATATTACCATCACTGAAGTTTATTTTACATATCGTACAACCCAACAAATTGCTAATACAGTAGTTACAATGTATGTGAGAACATGAAGAAACTCGTAATTTGTATACTTCGGAACAATTAGAACATTCTACAAAATATTAACTTAAATAAGAAACTATCCATAAATTTAATATATTTTTGTAAGAAATAATTATTTAGAGTATATTTACTTAATAAATTTACTCCTATAATTAAAAAAAAATATAAACCTGAATTAAAAATACACTTAACTTAAATGAAACTTTATTTAAACATTTTTCTTTTAAACAAATATCAAAAGTTATAAAATATTAAATTTTATAATTAAGTATTCAACTAATCATTTTTAATTAGAATTAATTAAATAATGACATAATAATATCAATTGTAATTTATATCCAATTTAATACTAAATACATATATATCAAAATCAATTTTGTATTTAAGCATTTAAGCATTTTGGTAAAAAATTCATATTATGTTATTATTAATATTATTTAATTAAAATTATAAGAAAATTTTACCTGTTGTATTTTCGCTATTACCTGAAAACAATTATATCTAATCAATTAGAATTTAAGTAATATTTTTCATTTTTAATAGGTTGTCAATAGAAATAAAAAAGATATTTTTTTCTGAAATTTGTTGATGTCTAACAAAATCATTAAATAAAAAACAAGGATAAAAATTGATTAGAATTAAAAAACTTATAAAAATTAAATCAATTTTAATTTGCTATTTATACATCTATTACTTACTAATTTACTTAAAATGTATTTTTTTATTTCAAAGATATGTGTAATACCTTTAAATTAGAAAATATCTCATCGGATATAACTTTGAACACGTGTTTCAGAGAGCTTTATAAAATTGTAAGAGCTGTATAAAAAGCTGTATAAAAGTAGTAGAAAATATTGTTTATAAATATATAAAGGATAAATTATATATTTATGTTATTTGTGAATTAAGATATCATATTTAATATTAATATTAATATTACCAATTTTGAAATATTCTTTACACATATTACATTGTGTTATCTTATTTCTACAGGTATTACAAAAATAGTGACGACACGAAACCATCTGTAATAACTTAACCTTGCCACAACCACTGCATTCTATAAAATATCATCATTAATTATTAAGTAATAGTCTAATAATATCAACTAGAAGCAACTAATTCATTGACTATAAGCACATCTGCCAATTTTACACTTGTAATATTTTTATTAAAATTCTAATTTGTTCAAAATACATTTTTACCTGAATTAAAGTAGTATTAAATTTAGTATAGATACCAAATTTGTAAAAATCCATATTTTACAATTAATTAATAATATTTAGTTAAATTTGTATGAATATTGTACTTATTACAGTTACTCTATTCTTTACAAATGTTTAAATTTTATCAATATAAAATTTACGTCAAATTTTTCATTTTTAAATTAAATCACGTGATTCTACACAAATTAGAATTGTTGTGACACTGAACAGTTTACGTTTTTCAGTTTATTCGATAAAAATAAAGAGTTTTCAAAAGAAAAGAAGTAATAATAATATATTTAAATTAAAATTTATTCGATCTATTTGGCTATCGAAATGTGAAAAATGAAAAATAATTTGTACAATTTGTCTGAAAAATTATTGACATTAAAAGAATAAATTTAAAAACTAGTTCTTGATGTATATTTATCACATATTATTTTTTTTTTTTTTAAAGTAGGACTCCAAAAAAGTTTTTTTAGAATAAGAAACTAATAGATATGATGGGTTGAGTATACATACTACACTAGTCGGGATACATATAATTAATTTTACTTATACATTTAATTAAAGCCAAAGAGGCTTCTTTTACTTCTTCCTCGACTTAATCCTAATTATTTGGGGTCGTCCACCCTTATCCTAAACTTCCTCTTGACTCGATCTCTCACATCATCTACGATCACATCAGCTGTCCTTAAATTGCATTCAATAGCATCCCTCCATCTCTTTTTTGATCTTCTTCTAGCTCTTCTTCCTTCAACATTCATTTCTTTAACTGTTCTTACAGCTTCCGATTGTTCTCTCCTCATAACATGACCAAACCATCTAAGTCTATTTTCTCTCATCTCATCCACGATTGACGCTACACCTATACTCCCTCTTATATACTCGTTCCTTATTCTGTCTTTTTTAGTCACTACACTCATCCATCTAAGCATTCTCATCTCTGTTACACTCATTCTCTGCTTTACTTTCTTATCAACCACCCAACACTCTGAACCTTTCAACCTCATTATAATTCTATTATCGCATAAGACGCCAGACGCTTCTCTCCACTTCAACCACCCGCACTTAATTCTGTGTCTTACACTACTACACTGTCTTACAATACCTCGTATTTTCCTTTGTCAAACTCGTACTCTATATACTCTGTCTTACTCCTACTTATTATTAAACCCTTTTCTTCAAGAGCTAATCTCCACACCTCTAGCCTTTGATTAATTTCCTCAATATTTTTTCCTATTAACACTATATCGTCATCAAACAACACGTACCACGGCACCTATCCTTGTATTTCTCTAGTAATTTCATCCTTCACTATAGAGAATAAGTAAGGGCTTAAAGCATAACCTTGGTGCAATACTACTCTTACATGAAAACCTTCTGTTACTCCTCCTACGTTTTTTACCCTGAAATAAGAGCTATCATACATATCTTCAATTATATTCATGTACATTTTCGGGACTCCTTTTCTCATTAATGCCCACTTTAAAACCTCTCACGATATTCGGTCATACGTTTTTTCTAAATCTATAAATGCCATACACAGCTTTTTCTTCTTTTCCTTAAAGTTTTCTATTAGTTGCCTTACACAAAATACTGGCTCCATTGTTGACTTACCAGCCATAAATCCAAACTGGTTTTTAGTGGTACTTCATCTTCTACTGGTACTTCATCTGGTCCTAATGCTTTATTATTTTTCATCGATGCCACAGCCGCCCATACCTCTTTCTCACTAATTCAATCTACCAGTCCCTCATTCCACGATATAGTCTATAGATTTCCTTTTTGCCTTCCTTTGTTCCTAGCCTATCATACAACTCATCATACCTCTTAAACTTCGCCATACTTAATGCACACTTGGCTTCTTGGCACAAGCGTTTATACTCCATCTAGTCTTCTCTCCTTTTGCTCTTCTGCCATACTTTGAATTGCTTTTTCTTACTTTCTATGATTTTTTGAATGTCCTCATATCACCTAGATGTAATTAATTTTACTTATACTGTTAATTATAGCTAAAAACTTCTAGGAAACTATGTTGTTTTTTAACTAGTTTTTAGCAACATTAAAATAATGATCTAAACTATAAATGTAATTTATTTTATTTTATCAATTATATATATATATATATGGATGTACTTCCAAATTCTATGATTATAAAAAAATAATATTATATATTTTTATTACCAAATGCTAAGGAGAAATCAATAGCTAATACTAATATAATCATAAATATAGTAAGCGAATTCTGAAAAAAAAAAATTATTTAATTTTTACATCAAATTTATATAATGAAGTAGTACATACCATTTTATGAATTTTTTGTTGTTAGATTTCAATAGTCTATGTATAATTTAAGTTTTTAAACTATGCAATGTAACATAGTTGAATAAAATAAAAAATGACTGGTTGCGTTTAAATACGTGAATCAATTTTTATTCAGGGAAAAATACGCTATTATTTAATTGATTTGACTCATATCTTCTATTTATTTTTGATTAATATATTTATTTTGAAAATATATTTTAATGTCATTTTACCGGTACTAAATTTTATTAACTTTATTTATTGTGATTTTAAGAATTTTATGGTAAAATTGTATTTATTCAGCAGTGCCATTCCGAGTCTTCCCAATATGTGGCAGGGTGGGATGATACTTTGAAAAACTACAGACTACAAGTTACTTATTCATGTGTCATTTTGCAACACAAAAATATACTGTGAAAAAAAAATTAATTTAGGATACAAAACTTGCGAATGATAAATGACTACTGTGGGGGAGGATGGCCCTTTAACCAAAAATTTTCTATTTTTACTAATATTATTAATTTCCATACTATAAGTTTATGAAATTTCTAATAATATAATAAAATTTCTAAAAGCTTTTTCAGTTAAGATTTCAAAATTTCATTAATATTCAATCATTTCATTAGGCTAGTCGTTGGAGGAGTTGACCACCTACACACCACAATTGTAAAATTTTGTACTAATTCATAAATATTTCAAAAATCAATATCAAAAGTAGTTTTAAAATTTTAAAATCACTATCATAAGAAACGCTTCTATGCAAATCTGTAGATAGTGTTTAATTTTAAAAAAGTGATGGATAATTACAAAAGCAACATCAACTTCTATTTCCTAAATTATACCCAGATTAGTAATTCTTTTAGTTATATATTATATAATTTTTAAAATGAATTGTTTTCAAATTATTATTGATTTTGGTTTTTAACATGTTAAAAGTAATCATTTTGAACCTTCTTTTTATTGTCCTTTAAAGTGAAAGTTTTAATAAAAAAAAAAATTGAATTTATTACACTAAAATTTAGCTCAATTTGCAAGTTCGAAATTGACATTATTAAATAGAAAAAAATGAAATTGTTAAGATTAATATTCAATCAGGGAATTTTATAAATACTATTTACAGTACATTTATCAGAAAAGTTAGATTTGTTTACATTTTTATCGTAAAAATCATAGTAATCATTTGTAATTAAATTTTGGCGTTTAAAAAAATTCTACAATGGAAAAAATTGTACTGATCCGTACATTTTTCAAAAAGTTATAGCTTAATAAAGTTAAAAATGGAAAATACAAAATTTTCACCATGAAGATAAGATAAAGTCCAAAAAAAAAAATAAAATAAACACATCCTAGTAAAACCAATACCTTCTCAGCTTCGCATCGAAGCTAAAATTGAAATAATTTCGAAAATTAGCGATTTTAATTCGTAATTTTTTTGGAGATTCCCCTATTTATGGGGAACGAGTGAATGTTTTTCAATTTTTGAGGGTAATGTCTTTAACTGGATATAATTTGAGTATTCTTGAAAAAATCGGTTGGCTTAATACATTTTTATAGTAATATTCACGATTACTCACATTTTTTAAACATATTACGAGACATAAATGTTCAGTATGATTTATTAAGTATAACCATTTCACTCACGCAAAATTTGTGAAAAATTATTTTACCTTGGGTTTATATTCAATATCACAATCGACAATCGCAAAAAAAACATTAATATAGGTAATTTAAATATAATACCACTATGATACAAAGGAATATTAACCTGGTGGTATAACCTGTTGCGGCGTGCTCTATAATATGAGTATTATTATAATTTTAGCTTCGATGCGAAGCTGAGAAGGTATTGGTTTCACTAAGATGTGTTTATTTTTTAGCTTCGATGCGAAGCGGAGAAGGTATTAATTTTACTATGATGTGTTTTTTTTTTTTTTT